ACAATACCATTTATATTGTGGACAATCGGATTTACCCGTTCGTGGATTTAACATATCCTCGCAATTCGCTGGAATAAAAAAATTTGAGAGATATCGGTAGATGGGCGATGAATTGGACTACTTCGGGGATTTGTGGAGATGCTTCCATGCATATTTGGGAACCGCTGTGATTTTGTTTCGATTACAACTCAACATGGTATACCTACACATACATTTTAGTAAAAAATTGTAAATAAAAGTACTACAATAATTTATACTATTCGATAGTTACAGTGCTATGCTTACTTCAAAAATAAATGCAACGATGTAGTAAAGTTTGGAAAAAATTTCTGACTCACTTTGGGTGCTGGGTGTGGTTTTTGTTCCCACTGTTCCAATCTATAAAATGTAAAATAAGTTAAAGTGTAAGTAAATAGTGTATAATTAATTTGATGAGCGTCAATTCGTTATTTTTGATGATTTTTGCTCTCCTGGAGCTCATCCCCGTAATTATCCTGAGGCAGAACCTCAACGAGCAACACGGGCATCTGTGACGAAATTTTTTGAGTTTTTTTCATGACAGCGATGTGTCGAAGTGCGAACCTGCGTTTTGTCGCAACAAACTTGTCCTTGTTCGGTGGTAATGCACTGATCTGCAGATGACGGGCATAGGCCACCAATGCAGGCTGAAGAAATAAAATTTGGGGTAGCTACATAGCAAAGAATCTCGTAAAAGAAGAGATCCACAGAACAGATGAACCCTGATGAATTTTCTTTCTGAACGAATCAAGTTTATTCCGACAACATTTCTGAGTTGCTACTTCAAAACTAGTTTTTTTCCTAGAATTTCTATGAATTATTCGAATGTCTGGAAGAAGAGTAGAGACTTACGCCCAGTTGATCTGACTCTGCAGTACTGAAGCGCTGATCCGGTATGCCAGACAGCTATGAACAGTGCAAATGCTAAAGGGAACGACATGACAGCAGATTTGGATAACAACGAATTACCATCGCTTTTAAACTTATTCCTCGAGAGGACGTGCAGCTGTGTCAGCACTCGGGTACATCGAGACTGGGTGAACACCTGAATTAGCAACCTCTCACATCATTGTTTAATCATAAAGTGAAACTGGTGTCTTTGTGATATGGAACTGCAGTATTCCTATGAGCAAATATGGAATCCCTAAAGAGCATTCGCACAAAGAAGTGACGAGAACGATAACGCAGGCAATCCATGCGTTTTTATCTCCAAATTTAGAACTGTCGTTGAACTTCAACGTCAACGCGAAAAAGCAAAGAAGCCCTCCTCGCTGAAATCCACTGCTAGGATACCTCTACGCCAGATTTGTGCTACTTTTGATAGGCTCATCCTTTTGCCAGTATTGAAATATTTTCAGATACAAACCCTAGCTTCATTAAATATCTATTTCGCTGCCTTCCTCAAGTCCTACTGACCTTGTTGTATACTGATTTCACGCCTAAGTGCTTCCCCAAGAGTGTTCAGTACATGCCATTGCCGTCGAGGCGTCCAGACTGATTCGCTTAAAGGCACTGTTCTCGATAATTCAATGGGCGGGCACGTCAATGACGTGTCCGCCTCTCATTCGACACCACGTCAGACTGTCTGACGTGACATCGAATGAGAGGCGGACACGTCATCGACACACCCGCCCATTGAATCATCGCGAACAGTGCCTTTAAGCGGACCTTACAAGTCGGAGACAAAGTGTCTTGACCCGACTAGTTTCTACAGAATGCCTGGTTAGCTTCCTTGCTCTTTCCTTCGGATGTCATGAGATTGGCTGAATTGTTTAATACCTCACGACATTTTCATATTAACAGTATGGAAAAACTGACTCCTTCTGATATAACTTCAAAGAGGTTTTTCTGTGTATTTTCTTCAGGAATTGTCAGGCATAAAAATTGTTACCACAGTGTACTTCCTAGTTCGAAGCCTTTCGTCATGAACCCTTTAGCGTCCCGCGAAGTCGGTTACTCTTCCACCTCTTCGCTCTAACCTTCAGTGATTCAAAAAGGCATCCCTGACTTCAGTTTCACCGGCTGCTGCTTTCATTCCCTTCCCTGTCCTACTGGAGCAGGATTTCAATTATTGTCTAATTGTACAAATGGATGTTTAGATTTGAACAAGCCACAGATTTGCATTGATCCCTTTGTTTGTTCCTGGATTAGAAAGTTCAAAGTTCTCAGTTTTGAAAGGTATTACGAAATCACATTTGGTTCGAACATTGCACTGAGTGGGAATGCGGGAGTAGCAGTTAAAGAAAATCCGTCTTCGCTCTCATAAGATAAACGGAGCACTTACAGAGTATAGTATGGCACAGTATATTATCTATAGTATGTCTTCTAGTGGGAAAGCTCCTACAAGCTCCGGCATCATTTGGCAGCAGATATCATCCAACTTTTTGCTGACGGCTTCCACTTCTGTTTCATATCTAATGCACAATTTTCTGTAGAACCCAAACGGAATTTTTAATTTAAATGCATGTTGGCAATGCAATGAGTTTTTTGCTATCAGGTACTGCACTCTAGATACATGATTTTCAGAGAAGGAACCAAAGCTGAATTTTGGATGGAGCAGTATCGTTTATACTACGTTACGAGGTGCGAAGCATAAAAAATGCCTCGATGTTTTTCTTGAGCAAGAACGTAGATAGAAGTTTATGAAACTATAATGCACGCTTGAGCGTGCATAGCTCAATTGTAATTGTACTGTATAGTAATGTATAGTATAGATAGTTCAGAATGTACAGAATAGAATAGTTTAGTTTAGTATACTATAATGTATAACAACATCGAGTAGCGTATTGCGGTGCAGTTAGGTGATGCTAACTTGTTGAAATAACTTCATAAGATTTGAAGGAAGCGAAACCTGGTTTCCTGATTATCGATGCCATATAAGTGATACTTGTCGCTTTTCAGTCCCACTTCTCCCTTTAATACTACTTTCAGCTGCCCAAAGTGGCTACTACAGCATTTTACAGGTTACGCACTCAGTATGATTATTAGGAATGGTTACTAGTGTTTTATTCCGTGTTATTATTTATTGTCACTGTGGGGTTCAACTGAGAGCAAATTTGGTGGCCCAGACTTCTGCGTTTTTGATATAACCAATTCGATATATCTTTTACTGTAAAATTCAGGCCTGCGATTGGACATCTGCCCGGATTAGGAGCGACGACGTCAGTGTCCATGCGAATAGCTCCTCTCCGGCGAAGATAAGAGAGCAGCCATCACGGTGGTATGGGCGCGTAGTGTGAGGACCACCGAGTCAACCAATAGAGAATGCAATGGAGCTCAAGAGAGACCACAAGGAGCCCAAAAAAGAGGTAGCGAGACATGATCAAGAAGGACTTCGCCCAAGCTTCCGGTAAAAGATATCGGTAAAGTATCGGTATAAGAAAGGAAGAAAGTGGCGACTGACAAGAATAGCGGCTCCATGATGACGCGGGATTAACGTAGGGAGAAGGAAAAGAGAAAAAAATCTTTTAGTGTATAACTGAGACCATTATAAAATTGATTTGATGTTTTGCTGTTGATGATGAGGCGATGTTGAATTCAGATGCATTGTCTTCTCTAGTTGTGGGCATCGCTGTATGTCAAGTCATGTGGTTTGTTTTAGCGGATCGGAGTGTAGAGTGATTTTTATTATCAGATCTATATCAATCAGTCCTTGTTCACTTTCAAAACATCCCCTCAACGAACACCTACTAATTACAGTATCTGCATGTTTTTGGGCATTGTTGTTGCATAAGTTTCTTGTAGTTGTTGTCAAAGCAGTATGCAACCAATTTTGGGCAATCCGATCGGCCAGTGACGGGATTCACAAGGTCCCGACAGCCTGAAACAAAAACTCAGTGGGAGTAATGAATTTGCACAACTATTTTCGAGTTATACATAATAAGATTTGATAATACGTGGAATGAACATCGCCTTCACATGCCAGCAATAGATGGCCAGTTTGTCAGAGCAATATACTTTGTAGGCATTGGTCCAGAACCACCACTCACGAGGTAAGGGGCATCGTAAGTTGGAGGCCTTAACAAACTATTTGTGGTAGGGGCGTCACCAAGAGCTAGAAACTTAGTTGTGCCTCTTTAGCTCAAGCGAGTAGGGACAAAAGGCCCAGACTGAATTCGAATGGGCTTTTAAGAATATTAATGCTGCTATCTGAGTGCAACTGATATTTTTCGTGAACCCCTAATTACCTCTTCCCGAGAACGTGAAAGCGTAAAGTTTTTTCTACATCTTAGAGCAATGTAAATAATGATTTTTAATTTTATGCTGTGATAAATAATAGATGACCAAATGATTGTTCGTGGGAAACTCCACCCACCTTTGGGTGTCGCGGCCGCTTCTTCACATCTGTTGCAGGTTTTTGGACACTGTTGAGTCATCAAATTGTAGTATTTGCTATTATTGCAGAACGATTTCATTTGTGGACAGTCGGAAGCGCCCGTTCGTGGATGTATCAGATCCTCGCAATCTGCTAGAATAAAAAAAATCAAGCGATATCGATTGATGTGCGGTACATTCCACTCCTCTTTGGATTGTGGAGACGTTCCCGAGTAGCGTTTTATGGTAAGTTTTGATTTTTCTTCAAAAACTGCCAATAGAGAGAACATATTTGCATATATTACGCCTACTGTAAAGTCAAAAATAAAAAGTACCAGATAGAGTAACATTTGAACTCACTTTTTGTAATGGGTGTGGTTGTGGCCACTACTGTTCCAATCTGCAAACGACATTTCAGTTATTTCTAATTGCAATAGTTTTTTACGCATTTTGTTGTCTAAAGTTTATGTGGCTGTTTGAGCCACTAGCATCATTCACTCAGGCAATAGCTCCCACCCCACGTCACTTTGACGCTAGAATCCTAATGATGTGAGAAGGACTTGGTGGGATAAGCCCAGTGTTGAGCTGCTGCGGTGAGCACTCCGATGCCAAATTTTGGAGCGACTGAAGCATTTTTGGAGAATTTTTCAATTTTTTCTGTTTAAGTGTGTGGTTGTAGTGCAAACCTGTGTTTTGTCGCAACAAACTTCTCCTTGTTCGGTGGTAATGCACTGATCCGCCGACGATGGGCAAAGGCCAGCGACGCAGGCTGAAGAAGTTAAACTACAGATAGCATCATACTAAACAATGCAGTGAAAGNAATATGTAATGATCTAGTAACATTAGGTAGTCCACGCAAATAGCTCTAGACTGCAAAACTGTCTTCAATATTCGAGGATAAGCAACTGGCTTCAATCGATCCCATAACATCGACAACCTCATTGATGAATTCAATTGAATATTTTGATAGCCACATAACTCAGGGGCATCGGCTGTTTGGGTTTACATATATTTTCACCATATTTCTTTAAAGAAATAGAGGGCACAGTGGAAGATGCTACTGGGTATGGATCCGGAATCGGATTACTGGTACATCTATAACTAATTTCCAGGTGCTTTTGAATGCTCTAGATTTCCTTTCTCAGGTAGTCGAACTTTGAAAAGTTAGAGGCTTCAGAGCAAAGACGACTATTCCATTGACGGAATATTCTGAGATCATGTTCGAGCCGACAGTGTAAATGCAGCCCTTTACTCAGAACTTCTACGAATTATCCAGAGGTCTAGAAGAAGAATAGTGACTTACGCCCAGTTGATTCCACTCGGCAGTACTGAAGTGCTGATCCTGCTTGCCAAACAGCTATGAACAGTGCAAATGCCAACGGAAACGACATGACAACAGATTTGGATAACAACGAATTTTCCTTCGCTTTTAAAGTCCCTTAGAGGAGATGCAGCTGTGTCAGCAGTATAGTATCGAAGCTGAGTGAACACCTGAATCAGCATCCTCTCACATCATTGTTTTCTCATAAAGTGAAACTGGTGTCTTTGTGAAGCAGAGTTGCAGTAATCCTATGACCGAGTATGAACAAATATGGAATCCCTAAAAAGCGTTCACACAAAGGAAGTAACGAGAACGGCATCGCATATCTGGATATTCCAGCCCTTTTTTTCTACCCTCCCAATCTAGTGCTGATGTTGAGCTTTATTGTCAACACAAAAAGGTACAGAAGTTTCCCCCGATTGCCTTTTCGCTACCTTTTCTATCTGTTTCTTTCATACGCGCCAATTTTATACCTTATATTTTATACCTACTTCTACCAATTTTAGAAACATTTGCAGTTTAGAGCTGAATTGATTAAATATGTCATCCTCTTCACAGGATATTTCATATCAACTATTCTCTGCATTTAGAGGCACCGTTCAAGATAAAAA